AATATTAAAAAAGGCCTAAACCCTTTAAAAGCTCAATAATTAAAAAAGTTTTAAAATTTAAATTCAAATTAAATAAATAAAAATTATATATTAAAATTAATACATAAACGAACGTAAACGAACGAACATAAACGAACATAAACGAACGTAAATGAACGAACGTTCACGAACATAAATGAACGCACGTTCACGAACATAAATGAACGAACGAGACTCTTGTTCATGTTCGTTCGTTTAACTAAACGAACAAAATTTTTTGTTCATGTTCGTTCATTTATTAAATAAACGAACATAAACGAACTTCCCGCCGAACGGTTCACGAACGGTTCGCTGAACGTTCGGTTCGTTTACAGCCCTATAAATACCCTTTGATATTTTGTTCACATATGTTAATTGAAAATATTAATTTAATAATTAATTTTTAAATATCATTAAATCACAACCGTTTATTATTCAAATTAACGGTCAAGATCGGTTAACAAAGTTAACACGATAATTTTGGTTAGCATTTGAACTAGTCTCTCTCTTTATATATATAAACTTAGGATCACGTGAGACCAACTTGTTTTCGTAAGACCGGTAAAACCATCGGTTTATACTTAAAAACTTCACGGTGATTTTGCTGTGAAGGTTCTGATTTTTTTTATCTTCATAATATCTTACTGTAAAGTTTCAAATATAAGAATATGGTTTGATGTGAACTCAGCCCTGTTATTCTTAATTTCACTCAGAAACATTTAAGAAAATATACCAAGAAGGGAATAAATTAATTGTATAATGGGTATAAATGTATGTGTACATATTAAATGTGTATTTATAAAATATAGTAGGGTATAAATGTTATTGCAAAATAAAGAACGAAAAATTAAATGAATTTTTAATTGAAAAAAATTCAAAATTTATTGAAAATTAATGTCATATTGTCAAAGCTTAATATTTATTAGGTTTTTAAACATGTTTATTAATTGATTTATGTAGTTTAAACATAAAACCCTAAACAGTTAAACATATACAATAACAAATTGTAATTTGAATTTTAAAAATATTATATTATAATAAACAAAACATTCTTAATCTATACAAACATGTTAAACAATACAGTCTTTTTATCTATGAAAAAACCTTCACAAACAATAAATTCTTAATCTATACGAAGAGGTTAAGGCGAAAGATCATGTGAGAATAAGAGTTAAAATGAGAAATGTAATAAGAAATCTGGACTCTTGATCACCTTTGATTTCAAACCCACACATGAACGTCGTGCTTGATACAGTTGATCTGGTGTATCTCGGTGCATCTTATCCTAATGTGCATCCAATGGTATAAATCTCTTTCTTACGCTTCTTACATTAACTCTCGTTCTCATCGGAATCCAACCCAATAGGTTAATCTATATACAAACAACATCATCTATATATGATTTAATGAAAATGGTTGGATTCCAGTGAGAAGAAAAATTTGGTAAAAAGAGATCTCCACCATTGGATGCACATTAAGATAAGATGTATTGAAATGAGATATACCAGATCAATCTTCATATTAAATATAACTTATGAATGAGTTTAAGATATAAAATATTAATAATTTAGATCTCTTTTTACGTTTTTCATCTTAACTATTAAAATTCAAATATAGATACGTATGGTCTGGTGGAAGTGGTCCAGGGAGTGTGGAGCAAAAGATGTTGAAAAATGGACACGTCTTCCCAAAAAAGACAGCCTGTTTGTGTTACCATGCATCGGATCACACATCCACCCAATAAACCTACCTTTTTCATTAACTACAATTTTATATAATATTTACGCTTTTAATTAAAATTATTTTTTTTATTATAAAACATTTGATAAAAACTTTTAAAAATTATTTTGTATATATGAAGTATTGCTTATTGATGTATATTAATTAAAATTCAATATTACAAGAAAATAATGCATAAATATATTTTATTAAAGTTTCATGCTTGAATTCATATAACTAACTGTAGATAAGCATAATCAAATAAAAGATAAATATTTTATTTTAAATATAAAAAATCTAAAATATAATTAAGATAATCATTGTGTTCTAACAGAATACTTAATTATTATATTTATAAAAAATTATATTATTAACTTTAAAAAATTACTTCATTATCTTTTTAATTTTAGTATAAAAGGATAAATATTATTAGTTACAAATTATGGGCTTATTGTTTTCTATAATCAATGTGTAGCCCAGTTCAAACCTATTAAGCCCATCACCATCAATATTTTTTTTAAAATAATTAATAAGGTTTATGACTTAATATCAGTTGAACCGTATGGCAGCTGGAAATAAAGACGACCTCACCTTCTCGTAGATGGTGTCAGTGACAAGTAAAAACTGTATGATATATCCATCAAAAGACAAAATTTTCTACCTTTATGATACACGGACGATACTAGAACAACAACTGTAGATGCCAAGAATCGGAATTGATTTTACTTCGCAGACAATAAAGAAACGAACATCACAATCTTCTTGTACAAGTAATTCTTCTCCTTGATCAAGAACGTGTTCATCTTTCGAGTCAATGTTTCCTTGTTGACTGTTGTGAATGTGTAGCTTCCCAGGTATAGTTGTTTGATTCGAATCATGTCAACGTTGTACGACAACACCATTGGTTGTTGTCTTTCTACGTCTTTTCAAGGAAGCTATGTTCATTAGATTCTCCAAGAACTGTTATCTGCTTCTATCGACCCACGAGTAAGTCTTGTGGGTGTTTTCGAAGTCCATGCAGCTTCAACAACGTATGACCTTGTTTGAATCTTAAACAGTGTTTAATCTGATTTGTTGTGTTATGAAACATGGAGATGGAGAGGAGGGTTTTATCGGAGATGTAGTTTCCCAGTTGAAGTTGGTTATAATCACCTTTTTAATCTCATCTATTGGATCATTTCAATCTAACAGCTTGGATGATTTATTCGGTTTTACATATGAATATTCTACCATAATGGGTATTCAAAAATCAATACATGAAATTTTAATGAATTTGAAAGAAATCGTATTGAGAAGTAATCTCTATCTGAAATCGAACTTGTGAAGCGTCTATTTGTGTCAAGTGTCGTGGATACGTAACTGCTCAAGATATCATCTTACCACCTTATGTAGAAATCGTCAATAATACACAACATAGCTAGCTTGATGGAACCCGTTGAGTTGGTTATTGGATTACAAATAGAGAAGAACAACGGATATTTTATAAAAGCGTCAAATACCTTTCAGGGTTCTCTCACGATCTCATCCCTATTCCATCGTTAATAAACGTACCAAATCATACACTGTATCTATTTTCTCACCAAATCATCTCCAGTAAACGTACTATATCTAATTTTTGCACAAACCATCTTCATTGAAACCGTTCTGGTGCAACACTATTCACGAACATTATTTTTTTAGAGTTTCGATACTTATAGAAATATTTTCCAGTGTTTCAATTTATTCAAGACCGTCCTTGGGGGAGGGCGGGTCGGGCGTATGCGCAACACTCACAAGAAATGGGGGCCTATTTTTTTTTAATATAATACTATAATATTAGTCAAAAAGTTTAATGAATAGAAGAGACATTTTTTTTAATATCTAATTGGACTAGAAAAGAAATTCGTATATATTAAGGGCTCAAACATGTATTAATTAATTATATTATAAAATAAAATATGTAAAAACTAAAAAGTTAATTGATCATTCATTTTATAATATATTCTCCATCATTCATCTCTTACTAACCTTTTTGATTATATCATCCACATGAATTCTATTTTTGTATTAGAATATAGTATATATATATATTTTTTTTATTAATATAGATATCCAACTCATTATGTGAGCAGACTAATCCCAGGGCGACCACTTGCTTTGTAGATAGTCCAGAGTCACCGCATTTGAACCTTTGTGGCCACAAGGAGATTTTTATTCCTCCTTGGATTTGAACCTGAGACCTTCAGGTACTTTTGATCTTTTGAGTCAAGCTCAAACCAATCAGACACCACCCTTGTGGTTAAAATATAGTATATTTCTTGTTATTAATTAAGAAAACTTTTACTTTTTGAAAAAAATTACCAACTATTTGAGATGGTCCAAACTTTATCTATATTTTAGATTTCAAAACTACCATTGTTTTTTCATGCATTATTGACTCCTTATTACCTAATATTTAGGGGATGAATTTCAAGTATTTTCTCATCTCCAAAACAAGAATAAGATCTTCAACTGTAACTAACATGACATTCGATTTCAAGATTGATGGTTACGGAAAAAAAGATATTAACCCTAGGGATCCGTTTGGTTTGTAGGAATGGAAATGAATATTTGAGGGGCTATGAAATTCAAATCCATTCCAATTAGGTGTTTGGTTTGTAAGTTTGCTCAGAGTTGAAATCCTATGTTCTTTTTTTGAAATCTCTCAAACATGGAATTTTGAAATCCTAAGGGATGATAGGGATTTTACGGGATTTCATAGGATTTGTATATAATAATGTTTAAAAAATATGTTAAAAACATTTGTTTTATAATAATCAATTAATAAAAAGATAAAAACTTTAATTTGTGGTGAGATGGAAACCCAACTGATTTATATTAATTTACATAAAGTGTTAACTTGAATAGTCAATATTGTGAACTCGAATGATGTCAATCCATATATAAAGATATATTATAATGAGGTTTTTGATGGTAAGATGGATGACGATGCTATGTAAATGATCTGATAGATAATATAAATTTAAAAAATTATTGATTGATTTTGCTTTTAAAAATACTTTAAAAAAACGGTTTATTATGAATTATTAATATTCTTTAAATTCATTGTTATTTCTTATATATCGTCAAGCCCCATAAAATATCTGACGTGTTTTTATCGATTTTTTTTTACCTCTTACTCGATCAAAATTGACTTTATAAACCGGCGTGTGTTGTAAGCAAATAGCAAGAATTTAGCCCAAATCAAGATACCAAACCCTAACCATTCGGTCCGGAAGCGAGGACCATCCGATCAGTGAACGAACTGTGTGTTACGGGTCCAGTAGATCAATTTTCGCTCAGAGCATACATCTACCTGTTAATGGAGCCTCCACCCTCTCTGTACCCGTCGTTACTCATAAGGGTTAAAGTTGGAGTGCACACGAACTGTTCGATAAAAGTCCCATAAGGCTCCCGCCTTTTTGTACTTCTTCAAATGGTTTCGCATCCTCAAGATTGAATATTTTTACCCGTCTCATGTTCAAAGTTCACTTCTTTCCGATCCTCTAATAGCAAACTATATGTTTTTTACATAAAAGATATCAATTCGAGTCTGCAAATGTTTGGAGGACTGTCCCAATTTTAGTTCCATGTGCCATTTAATTTAATGGGTATAATGCTGAATTTCATTTGTATTAGAATTGTCCGTAGAGCTAGCATGCAACAAAGCTATCATTTGTTGGGGTTGCTTGGATACCCATTTTGTTCTCATCAATCTGCAAATATCTGTAGGACTTTGAATCTTGAAGCTCACAACTTTGCCAACAAGTCTTGTAAGAACGCCGTCTCTCTTTACCTAGAGCGAGCCAGGCTCATAGATCGGATACGAATTATTCTTCGGTCTAATTCCCCAGATTCACTTGTTTCTGTCTTGAATGATCCTGCTCTGGACTCTTTTGTAGTTGCCAATGCGCTTAAATCTGCTCCATCTCCAGATGTTGCCCTTTCCTTTATTGAAACCCTCAAGCATATCCCACATTTCACTCATAACCAGAACACCCTCTATGCTTTGGCTAAAATACTTGCAAAATCTCATCAAATGGGCAAGTTGAAGGCACTCATAGACGGCATAAATGCAGGGAAATTCAGGAATGTTGCTCGAGTCAGTTTTATGGATCAAATGAAGTTGTATGCAGCTGCAGGTGATCTTGATTCTGTTCTTTGTGTGTGGCATGAATGGAGGGTCTCCCAAAAATGTCCGAATATCGAGTCTTATAACATCATCATGATGATTTGTGCCCAAATGGGCAAGGACTATGAAGCTGTTACGACTTTTGGTAGGATGATTGATGAAGGAGGGATTCCTAATTCTAGAACATACACCGTGATTATTGAGCATCTTGTGAATTCTGGAAACTTAAATTCAGCAATGAGAATATTCAACTTGTTGCCATCATTGCGGGTAAAACACACTTTAAGGCAGTACGCGGTTCTGGTGGATGCTTTATGTGGTACTGATCAGTTTGAAGTGGTTAAAAGCTTGCTCTCTGAAATGCAGGTGGATGGATTTTTGCCTAGCCGAGGGATGTATTCATCACTGCAGCGAATGCATGATGCAGGGTTCATCGAAGAGACATTGGAACTGATAAAAGAAATGTTGCCTGACCAGAGGATTGAGAATGTGAAAATGTCGTCTGGTGATTATTGCGATGATGAAGATGAGGTGGATGGAAATGGAGAGTTTGAATGCTCTCATAATAATGCTAAAGCGGATGGAATCAAATTGAAACCATGGCTTGACCCAGCCATTTTGGCTAGTTCTCTGCGTTACTGGAGGCCTGAAGAGGTCTCATCACTGGAGGATGCAAATTTCGTTTGGACAACACGATTGGTTTCAAAGATGATTAGGACCTTCAGTTCAGCTGAATCAGCATGGCAATTCTTCTGCTGGGTTGCCAATCAACCAGGATTCAGTCACGATGTTCACACGGTATCGAGGATGATTACCAAATTAGCTCGTGAAGGAAATGTTAATATGGTTGAAGAACTCATATCCATCATAAAAATTGAGGGTATAAAGTTGTCATATGGTACTATCAGAACGGTTATTGATTACTATGGCGTATCAGGGAAGGGTGAAGCTGCTCTTAAGGTCTTTCAAAATGTTAAACCCCTTTGTGGTACATTGCCAACAAACTGTCTTTTGTCTTTGTATTCATCCATCTTGAGAACATTTACCAAGTGTAAAATGAATTCTAAGGCCTTGGATACACTTGATGAGATGATTTTATGTGGGATTCTACCAAAAATTCAAACCTTTTCAGAATTGATGCATCATTTCGCACTTGAGGGGGACATGAAAACAGTTCAGAGGCTCTTTGGGATGGTTAAGCAGGGTGGAATAGAACCAGATGGTTATATGTTTAAAGTTTTAATACGTGCTTATTGTAACTCCAATAGAGCTGTGTTGGCTCTTAGAGCCTTTGAAGATATGAAAAGCTCTAATCTGATGACCGATGTTTCTACAAAGCGTTTGCTTGTGAAGAGTCTGTGGAAAGAAGGCAAATTGAGGGAGGCTGCAGCTGTTGAAGAAACAAATATGGAGGCAAATAATGACTCATATACTACGAGTGCTGCAAATTTTCAAAGAGTTTACAGAGTTTATTCTAGTAGTTTTCCAACTATAATTGGTAAAAAAGATCTTTGTGAAGAGGGTAGTATCAATTCATAATGCCATTGAGAACCTCCAGAGTGGGTCATACTGGGTTCCTCTGGTTGGTTTCAGTTGTTTTTTATTCTCTGAAATAGAACTCCTTGGCTGCATTTCCAATCTTCTTGAAATGCATCTTTGAACCCAACAACTATTAGCGCATCCAAAGGTATTATCTTACTTCTCGAGGAACTAATATTCTTATCACAGTGTCATGAGTAGAATATATGATCTCTGTTCTAAATCTAATAGATCCTTGCCATTTTCTCTGTGGACCTGTTCTTTTTTTTAAATCATGTGTGGACCTGTTAAAGTATATAAAACTCTACGTCTCACCATCAAGTTTCTAGCAAGTTGAAGTTCTCATTTAGAGTTTTCTATCAGAAAAGTATTAAAAACGGTAGGCTGGCTGTCTTTTTAGTTGTCTGTTATGGGTGTCCTCTGCCAAGATGTAAAGTTGTCAAGTTTGTAGAATGTTTCCATCAAGACAACCTACAGCCTTCACAAAAAAGTTGTTTAGTAGAAAACGACATGTTGCTGTTATACAGTTTCTTTTCCTTATTGTACTCTCTCCATCTCAAAGAAAACAAGTTCATTCATTCCAAAGTTTAACTTGATGTTCCTAATTACCCGTTCCTTCTATACGGTTGGATAAAAATCATGAATCATAACAACTGACCAATAACAACGGTGAGACCACAATATCACAAATGCAATAGAAAGCAAATAAATGACACAATGATTTAAGTATTTAACAGTGTTTCAAAGGTACTGACCATTTACATATAGTTTATTATTCCAAAAGGTGAAAATTTACTTTATCAAAGAGGAAGCTTAGATACAATTAATCTTACATGTCTACACCGTAAACATGGTTTCTGTGCTTTGTGTGTCCATTTGAATCTTCATAAGAGTAGAGACTATTTCATTTATGCTTAATCTTCTTGACGGTTCAGGTTCCAAACAAGCTATGCTAAGTTTTAGCAGACATAGAGCAAGTTCGTCTTGATCTATGACGAAACCAAGGGCGTGTTTGGCTTGCAAACGAGGGTCAATAAGGTAATTTAGCTTTCCTTTTGCATGCTTTTCATCACCCATACTTGAAAGAACTTCTTCCGATAGCATCACTTCTTTCCCATCATCATCATCATCATCATCACGCTCATACACGGCTTTCCTTCCTGTGATTAATTCCAAGAGAACAACTCCAAAGGCATAAACATCAGTCTTGGTTGTCACTGATCCATCTTCTAAGTACTCTGGTGGGAGGTAACCCTTTGACTCAAAACGACATTTGATCGATGAATTTTTATTTTGGTCCCTTTCTGTTGATCTAGCAAGACCGAATTTTGAAATCTTGGCTCGTAGATCCTTACTGAGTAGAATATTACTACTGTTTATGTCCTTGTGAACATATGCTGGAATCGCAAAGTTATGTAGATACTGGAGACCCTTAGCAACATCTAGAGCAATACGAATCCTATTGTTCCAAGATCGACTTTCTTGGGAAGTCTTCTCTTCAATCCATTGCTTTAAAGAACCATTCTCCATGAATTCATAAACAAGATAGCAAGCGCCATCATGTTCACAAACTCCATAAAGGCCAATGAGATTGAAGTGATTGAATTTTTGGAGAATTTTCACCTCTTTCGGTGCACTTGCACCCATCTGTTTGATGGCGACTATCCTCCCCTTTAAACTCCCTTTATAAACAGAAGCACTTAATCTGTTTTGGAGGCTAAAACCATCAGTACCCTCCTCTAATTCTTCAAATCTATAGATTTTCAGGAGTTGATCGACACTAGCAATACCAAGTTGAATATCTTTAGGCAACACCCATTTTAGTTTTTCACCACCATTTGCTCTATTTCTTTTCCACAGTAAATATCCCACAAACAAACAACATAATAGAATTGCCAAGAAACTACCTGTTACGGTCCCAATAATGATGCATTTCTTCGACAGACTTCCCTTTTGGCCAAGTGTTCTTGTTTGAGAACTCAAAGGCTCAGAACGGAGAGGAACAAGAAGAGTTGTATTCGGAGAAATCTCATCACTCTCCCCAGAAGAAAACCCGTTTGCTAAAGCTAAATTTTGACTGCTTACCTTAAACTGTTTACTAATTTTCGGGATTGAATCTTTCAAAACTATCAAGTATGTCAATAGATACTTAGTTCCCTCTGTGGTTTGACTAACTGTAGGACAAGCACATCTAAGTGGTACCTGAAGCTTTACACCAGGAGGCACGTTATATCGTTCATAAACATTGTTTCTTTGGATCGAATCACAAGTGGTTAGACCTTGGTACACAGAGTTTGCAATCGTGAAATAGTTTTCGCCCATAGAAAGAACGTAAGAGGTGTTAGCCTGATAGTACTTACCAGAACAAGAACAAGTTACCGGAATGATGACCTCTTTGTTTAAATTCAAGATTTTGTTGGAATCCCGGATGTTGTTGATTCGGGCAAGCTCTGTGGGGTCTGCTGTCATGAGCTTTGAGATGGCGGCAACTGTGTTGTAAAGAGGTTGAGTTCTAAAGATTAGGAAGGCGGAACACGATGATTTTAAGCCATTGCAGGTGTAGAGAAATGCAGGTGATGGTCCTGTTTCGTCGGTGTTGTCACAGTTCATGACTAGGTCTCCTGAATACAGTTGTTGACCAACGATTTCGATAGCGAAAAACAGGAAAACAGACATGAACAGGAATGGATTCATGTTTGGTTTTAGGATTAGAAAGATGATGATGTTTGAAACCATCTGCCAATGATTAAACATAAATAGTTGCTAAATTCAGTTGACTAGATGAATTCCTATTAAACAAAAGGGTTATGGTGATGTATATATGTAGAAATTTGAACTCTTTTTAAGAATTAAAAATTAGGGACGGTTTTTTCTGAACCAAAAAGGTGCTGAAAGTGACTATAAAGATACCCTATTAACTTTTCAACTAAATAGGTCTTGAAAAGAGAATGTAATGATATATTAATACAGGATCGAGTTCGAATCCTGCACGCGGTATGCTTGAACCTCACCGTTAGGAGTCAACTTTGAAATGTCTCCTCACATGTAGTTCCTAGGGGCAGATTCTCTATGAATCCGGTTGAGATTGCTAGTAATCAACTTTTAACTCAAATACAAGATCGAGAAATATTAAAAAAGAAATTGGTATTAGGGGGTTTTTGGGATTGCTTATTTGAAACAACTTATGCTTTTCTACAAAAGCACTCATCAACTTATTATAAATCAGAAAGATTTAACTTCTTCAAAAACTTCTTATTACCGGTTTGTCACCGGTATAAGTTGTTTATCCAAATACTCAAAAGTGTTTATTACCGGTGCCACACCGGAATAAGTCAATAAATTATTTTTATAAGCAATCCCAAACATCCTCTTAGTATAAATACGATTTGTATAATAAATATTAAAATAAATAGTGTATAGGACTTGACTGTTTCATGATCATTTGAAAAAGTATGCTTAACTTGTACTAGTTAGTTAGTAGTTATGAAAATGAAAAAAAAAAGGTTAAACGGTCAAGGCCCAAGTCTAAATCAAAATAAACTAACTAGGCTGGGCCGCTAGGCCCAAAATGGGCCCAAGTGTCAATGGTCTCGATTATTTACAAATAGAAATCTCGATTCTTTAAATTCCCATTTCCCATGTGATGCAAATTTTATAAAAGCTACTTATAATCGGCTAGAAATGTTTCAAAGTAAAAAGTGTAAATTAGTTTTATTGTTTCCAAACTTTAACGGCATCGCTCTCCCTTGCCACCCCTCACTCCCCCATCGTCGTCCACTTTCCATCATCGCCCATCACTGTCGTTACCCCATGTCATAGATCTCCATCTTTTTATGTGTTTTTTTGTCTTTGGATTTTCCCTCTTTTTCGACAATTTAATGGAGTACGTATAGACAAATAAAAAAGAGAGAATAAAAAAGCAGATCAAAAAGAAAAAAATCAATGGCAAAGGCCAGCGACAGAGACGGTTGGTGGTAGAGAACAGACGACGATGGGATAGTGAGGGGAAGTGATGGCATTAGGCGAAGAGTTTGAATGGCGGAGGATTTGTAACAGGTAAAATTGATATATGATTTTTTTCACTGTAAAACGTTCCTAACCGGTTATATGTATCTTTTTTTTTTTGTTAAAAGAACGTAAGTAACTAATTTTTAAATTGTATTACTGTAATCGGTACGTGTTATGTATGAAAGATCTGAAATAAATTTCCGAGGTGTGAATGTAACACAAAAGATATCCAAACTACTGAGAATTGGTTTTGACATTTAGATATCTTTAACATCCGTTGCAGTAAAAACCACATGTTCGACAACATTTGTGTGCACATTTTTACAATCTAAACCATCATCATCTTCCTAAACTCATTAAAATCAACACCTCCTTTCCCATGGGTATCAAACACCTTAATCATCTGTAAACACTCTTCATACGTCTTCGAATCACCGAGTCGACTCAGCGTCTTCTGCAAACTCTTCGGGCTGATCTCTCCGCACCCTTTCTCGTACTCAAACATCTCAAACGCCGCTTTCACATCCTCATTTTCGTCCTTCCCTTTCACCAACCTCATAAAATCCTCAAAATCTATAAACCCGTCTCCATCCGTATCCAAATCATCAATCACACCCTGCGCTTCCTGGTGCGACATGTACTCTCCAATCGACCCGAAATACGACCGCAACTCTAAAGCCGAAATCTTGCCATCGTTATCCGCATCAAAACGAGCAAAAACCAGTCGGAATTCTTGTTCGCGGTTGTTCCCGTTCGGTTCCGGGGATCTGGGAGACATTAACGTTGGAGTAGTGGAGTTTGACGTGGTCTTGGAACTCTTGGAACGAAAGCTACTCAGTTTTAACAAGAGACCCTTTTGAGAGAAACAACCAAACGACTTTGGAATTTTTACAGGCGCCATTAGAGGGTAAAAGAAAGAAGCTTTTATTAACTTGAAACTGAAATTGATACAACGGTGATAGATATATATAGATATAGATATAGAGATACAGGAAGTATGGAGAATAATATAACCATGATTTAATGGGTGGCATGCATGGTGGGAAGAAAAGGGTAAAAGAAGAGTCGATCGGAAATTTCTAAGAAGGTGGTGAGGGTGACAAATTGCGTGAAGTTTGGTTCATATAGGAATTTGCATGGCAACTTCATGTGACGACTTTTGTCGACAGTCGACGTCCAGTTGGTCTCATTCTCGTGACCCAAACCCCAACGTTTTGTTTTATTAAAAGACAGCTTCTGAATCATTAAAAGGTGAATCTTGTTTGATAAAAAAAATGTCTTTTGATGGTTCTAAAACTCTCTCAATGATTTTGTATCATGTAATCTCCCTTAACCATTCAACGTCCTAATTTTGTTGTAAATAATTACCAAACAATTATATTTAATTTTGTACTATATTATGAGAGACTCTTAATCATTCTGACCACTTAATCATTATGTATCAAATTATTCAGCAACTGTCAAATAGTTCTTAAAGAGACGGATTTAGAAATTTTTTCAAGTCTTGACATTATTTGACTCTAAGAGTCTAAGAAACAAATAAATAGGTAACAACTCGAGTCTGTGGTGGAAGAAAGTCTTACAAACCAACTCTACTAAAAAAAATTGTGTCCTTATTGTGGTTTCAAAATGTATATAGTGACATTTTTCATGATCTTATAAATTTTTACACTACGACGAAGGAAGGAAATGGTGGCACGTGCCACCACAAAATTAAATGGCCTAGGTCTGCCCCTGTATATGGGTATTTTTCACAAAATCAATATTGGTATGGTGGTGAGTTCGTTGTTTTTGATATGTGAGATCATATGTTCAAGTCTTTTATTACAAATTTCTTCTATAAACATTATAAAATCTGAAATAAAAGCAAAAAACTAAGAAACTGACACTAATGGGACTTGAACTAGGTCTCAGGTGGAAGAAAAGTCTTGTAAACCAGCTTTACTAAAGGTGACTTCAAACTTGTGTTTTCACTATCTATATTATATTATAAATCATTTGACAAAAATTTTTAAAAACCATTTTTTATACATGAAGTACTGTTTATTGATACATATTACTTAGAATTCAAGATTACAAGTAAATTATGTATGAGTACAACTTATTAAAACTTTATACTTAAATTCGTGTAACTAAGTGACAGATAAATATAATCAAATACATCATAAACATTTTATTTTAAATATAAAAAAATTTAAAATATAATTAGGATAATCATTGTTTTTAACAGATTACTTGATTATTATCTTTATCAAAAGTTATGTTATTAAATAAAAAATAAATTACTTTATTATTAAACTTAAATTAATTTATAATAAAAGAATTGAATTAATTTAATGAAAAAGGGGGTCCCGGGCCAATCCCTAACAACCCCCCCTTTTTCTTTATAGTTATGTATTTTGTTATAAAATATTTAGTTTATTATAATTTAATAAATTGTATAAATTAATCAAAATATAGATATGATATAAACAACTCATCAGGGTTAAATTGGTTATTTTCACTAATCATGTAATGTTCAGTCATGTTTTACCAAACGCTAAACAGTTATCCTCATATCATGTTCTGTTTTATCTAGTCATATTATGTCATTCATGTCATGTCTAGATGTTAAACACACCATATATGAACATGACTGAATGAATGATAGTTAAGAAAAGTTTTAGGGGATGTTTGGTTTGTGAAATTCCAGGGAATTTGATGGAACTGGAATGACGAATTCCATTAACCAAATTTCTTAATGATGTTTGGTTCGCGGAATGAATTGATTAGATTCCACCGGGCTTCCACCGAATTCCACAGTTGAGGGATTTGATCATTCCTTAGCATATGTGAAGGATTTGAATTCTATTTCGTGGCAAATGTTACATAAATTATAATTTGAATTCCCCTCCCTGCCCCTGCCCGCATCGCTTCTGCCGACAACATATGGGCCACCATCGTCGTTGCCACCACCACCACCATCAATTAATATCATCATCCCATCCACCGCCACGCCACCCACCCACCATCCCCACCTTGTATCATCACCACTATGTCACTATTGTACATTGTGTTCATTTCTAGCAAAAAAAAAAAACGGGTCAGACCTTAACCGGTCATTGGTTAAATATTTAGGACCAATAAGTTAGATAGCCATAAAAGTTGTGGGGTAGTGGTTGAGATCTTGAGAATATGGTGGAATATCCCATCTGTCAGGGTTCGATTCCAGGCGTACATAACAATTGTGACAATTGATTTTGTCATGAAAAATTTCTTCAGTCACAATTTGTTGGGTTTAGTTCACGCATAGCGTGGGATACTCTTCAAAAAAGGTTACATTATGACATTATAAACTAATTAATTCTTTTGACGTCGTTTTTTTTATATTTTTGTCATGAATATTTTTCACATTTTTTTATTGTTTTTAGCTTTTTTATGTGATCAAATCGAGTGGTGTTTAAATATAAAACATCTGGTATTCTTTCTAATAAACTCTTAACTCCATTCGTGTTGAATGTTGGGTTTAAAGTCGAGAGGTGAAAACGGACGACATATTTTTATAATATTTTGTAAATTTTCTTCCATTAATTTTACTATTGATGACCAAAATTTATTGTTTTATATTGTTTCAATTTTTTGTCTTAAAAATAGTATGGTAAAAGTACCGGGCCTTGATTGGTTTTTTCGGGCTTTGAGCGACCCTTTTTGGGATTTAACTGATCCCTGGCCGGACCAGTTTTCGTAAACCAAGGACCGATTTTCGGGATTTATCTGGGTTTTTAGCCAGTTAAGGACTAGTCTTAGGTTCAAAATTTAGGACTAAACGGTATTTCACCTATAATCGTTCCTTGAGTCGGACATTTTTTAACCGGTCATCAGTCCTTTTACTAGTCCAAAATTCGATTAACAGGGAATTTGTGTATTCGTAACTATGATTGTTTGAATCCTACATAATAGAATTGAATGATTCATAAAAATGTATAATTGATGAATTTCTAGGACCAAAGTGATACGATATTTAATTGAGTTGTAAAAATTTTCAAACGGTAGATATTTGGTTGAAGTTGGGTTAGACCATTTGACCTAGAGGTGGCCAAAATTCGGTCCCGGGCCGGGCCTTAACCGGTCCCTACCGGGCCTAATCGCGACAAAAACCGGCGGTAACCGGTCCCGACATAACGGGTCCCGGTCCCGGTGATTTTCCTTGTAACCGGTCAAGGTTATTAGTAACCGGTTGTCCCAACCGGTCCCGGTCCC